TAAGAAATACATTGTGATAAAAGTTTTGGCCGTATCGTCCAGCCCTAACAGAACCAGGTATTATTTACAACAACAAACTGCATTATTTCCTGAGTATAACTCAACTCCATCTTTTACTGATTTCACTCAGTTTCCACACAAGCAGTTTTCTTTAGTTTCTACTCGGCAGAAAATCAGTGGTTTTAGTTTCACCACTCAGTACATGGTGCCTCAGGTTTTCTGTATGTTTGCGTCTCACCTTCTTCTGCCTCTCGCTCTTGTCTCTGCATCATCTGTTGCTCCGGCGGTAACGCCTGCTGTAGGAGCTGCATGTAGAACTCGTTCTCTTTCTGGACCTCCTTTTGCTTCCTCAGCCGCATCTTATAGCTCACGTAGCTCTTGAAGCCGAAACCCAGAGTCACCACTGGATAGCCGATACTGGGAGTGGAGAAGACTTAATCAGACAGCGTATCAGGGTTCCCAACGTTTCATGTAAAACATCCATCCATCCATCCATTATCTTTACCCGCTTATTCCATTTTGGGTCACGGGGGGTCGCTGGTGCCCATGTCCAGCAATCACTGTGCGAGGGGCGGGGTACACCCTGGACAGGTCGCAAGTCCATCACAGGGCCACATAGAGACAAATGAGACAAACAACCATTCACTCTCTCACTCACACCTAGGGACAATTTAGAGTTACCAATCAGCCTAACATGCATGTTTTTGGACTGTGGGAGGAAACTGGAGCACCCGGAGAAAACCCACGCATGCACGGAGAGAACATGCAAACTCCACCCAGAAAGGCCCCTGGACCGGGGTTTGAACCAGGGACCTGCTCACTGAGAGGCAGCAGCTCTACCAGTTGCGCCACCGTGCTGCCTCCTCATGTAAAACAAACTCACTGAATTTTTCCCGAATAAATCCAGAAATTTCAGCCACACGAAATGCTCAGAACTTAGCGAGCAGAGTCACGTTCAGAGATGACAGGAAGTACACAGCAACTTACAGTGCGTGCATACAATCATTCTTAATAATTAATTATCCTGAGGTCCAGACTTTTTCATCATGCGAGCTCCTTTTAAAATGACCAAGTCAAAGTGATCTACCTGCTATAAGACCCCGTTTACACGAGAATAACCTCTGGAAACGTTAAGTGTTTTTTCAATTTTTATTGGTGGGAATAAACAAAAAATTAATGTGTTTACATGAAAACGCTGAAGTTTCTATGTCAGTTGGGTTGCCAGATAAGAAATTATGAACTATAGTAGTGTGGCTTTAAAATGATAGTATTTTGACCTACACTGTCATGTGCGGAGTAAAGATATTCTAAGATGAGGTGTGTGTTATGTTTGTTGAACATGTGCACAGAAAAGGAGGGGGAAAATAGGACATTTTAAATTTATCTGGCAACCCTGATTTCAAGCTCAGCGGCATTCAGTGCATGCAGCATCTACATGACAGTTAGTCCAAACTGGTGAAGACACAAACGTCTCTTTGGACCCTGGATTTTATTAGTTTTGCTCCTTCAAGCTGAAAAAAGGTGAGCAGCACAAAAAGCAAAGATCTCCACTCTGAGACCTGGATTCAGAAACCTTCGGTTTCAGAGAGAACGAGGATGTTGTCTGTAAATGAACGGCCGAACGTTTCACGTCGTGTAAACGGGGCCTCAGACTGGTTGCCCTGTCTGTCAATCAAGAGCCAAATTTCATAGATGGATGATAGGCTGACATCTATTTTTAATGCCATGCAATTTACCCATAATGCCTTTGTGAGTGACATATTGGGCATCCCTGGTGTATAACATCAGAAACTAAAACGCCACCATAGCCAGTCAGTAAGGATGCATGCACCATATACTGTAAAAGCAGAACATGAATTTAATTTTTCCAGAATACTTTCAATAATTCATGCACATGTCAAAATCTCTGATAAAGATCATCTTGTAATCAGCAGATCAGTGTTCAGATTCCCTGATTTCCAGAGTTGCAGGGAACCCTGCACATAAAACCTAAACAAAAAAAGAGCTCAGTTTTGTGCTTACCAGTGAGCAGCGAAGGGTCGACACAAATCTACGTGAAAATTCTTCAGATCTTTGAACCGAATGGCAGCTTCGATGTACACAAAGAGGATCCACAGCGACACGGTGGGCAGACACACTCCTCTCTCTGCCAAACACACAAAAACAACAAAAATGCACTAATGAAAACTGGTAGCAATTAATTTAATGCGCCAGTCTTTGAGGTGAAAGAGGCTGCTGGAACAGTATTGAATAAAGACCCAGCATTCCCTGAAGGAAGGCATAGCACCTGCCGCTTTGAATAAACTCACATGTAAACTGAGACTAAGGCAAGAAATGATGGAGCTGCAGCTGCTTTGGTCAAAGCATGTAAATAAATTGCACCAAGCCGTGAGATAGTGTAGGGGTTTCAGCAGAGCGTGTTGTGAAAGACTCCCAGCTAGCATCATATCACAGTTTGGCTCAACATTTGTAAAACTAACGTTATTGTCCACCTTCACATTTGATAGACGGAAGAAAAACCAGAAGCTTCTGAAACCTGGACTAACCTGTGTGCCACACGTACTGGACCCACACGTAGGTGCTGGCAGCGAAAAACAGCCATTGGACGGGGATGAAGAGGAGGCATATGATGTCTGATGTAAACGCCACACAAACAAAGAACACAGAGAACGCCTAGTAGAAAAAAAAAAAAAAAACTAATTTCAGGACTGAGTGAGGACTGAAAGGGTCGGCGTTGTGAAGCTCTTACCAGCCCCTGATATCTGAACGAGTCGTAGACGCTCCGGATGAACAGCCAGAAGGGCCACAGATACTCGAACCTGAACTCCAGCACAAAATCAGCCAGCAGGACCAACACCCACACCACCAGAAACTTCAGGTACAAGAAGGTGCTGTGAAGAACAAACAAACAAGTAAACAAAGCTGAGCTCAGACAGGAGCGTTTCAGGGCGTGTGCAGGAATAATGTGGGCTTTATACGACAGTCTTTGTGTGTTTAAAAACGCCACACAACCAGCAATGACCTGCAAAATATATTAGATTTGAAGGAAAACCAAATAGATTATTTAGATAAGTGGTTATGTGAAATAATTATGAATAGTTAACATCTTACTTAATTTTTAAGTTTAATTTAAAAATCTTAATTTGCTCTGCACTGTTTATTGTTTTAATTGATCTTAATGTTTTAACAGTTTTATTTTTATGTTTAAATTTTCTTAATGTTATGTGTACAGCGCTTTGTTACAGCTGTTGTTGTTTTAAAGGGTTTTATAAATAAAGTATTATTACTTGTACTTAGTATATTGAGCGACCTCGGTTTGAAAAACATAGGGTTAAACTCCGACTTGTCTGATGAGCTAACGGCTAGTCGGAGTCTAAACAAAACTGAAGTAAAGCCGTTCATTAAAATGTTATTTTATAAACCTTTACTTTGCCGTCACGTTCCCATTAAGATGTTATTCCAGAAATATGATGTTCCTGCTGGACTTTTCCCAGACTGCACTGGGAGTGTTACAGCTAGCTGCTGCTGCTATGTGTGCTCGCTAAAAACTAGGGGTGCACCGATCGCAGTTTTCTGGCCGATCACCAATTTCTAAAAAGTCTGACCTGCCAATTCCGATTTTGTTTTATAAGCGACAATGTCAGGTGTTATAAGTTCACAATGCATCTTCAATTTTCCAATATTTCCCAAAATTAAGGAAATAGGGGCCTCGGTGCACCCCTACTAAAGACCATAGAGAAAAAAAACTGTACAGTAATGTGGAATTTATGGTGAAGTAACGTAAATATATATAACGCCAATTAAAATGTAACATTTGAGATTGAAGTTAGTTTAAAATGCTAGAAGCTCAGTTTCTGGTCTTGCTTGGACTAGCCGTTAGCCACCAGACCCGGGGGTGGGGGTCTTTTTTCTGATTACACAAAAAAGTTTTAGTTTTTTGCCTCACACGAAAACAGCATCTTTTAGAAGACTCGAGCAAGTTCCAGATTAAAAAAAAATCTTAAAACACTAATTTTTTTGTGTGCAGACAGCCAAAACAAAATTTGAAAATGATGTTGTAACCAATGATGTAAGGGCATCGTCATCTTGTTCGCACTCAGCGTATTAGCTTTATGCTGCACGTCGCGCTTCCTGCTGTTGGTGCGTTTTCATGGCCCTGTCCCAGTTCATACAGTTCATACACCACCGAGGCAAAGCTTTTACTGTTTCTGTGTGTCTGGGTGTGTTTACGACATAATGATAGGATGTACATCTGCAACCTGTTGACGCAAACACAATTCTAGATGGCCACCACAGCTAATCGACCTCAACAACCAACACAAACATGATTTAAACTGAGCCACTTCTGCACATATTGAGCTCAACTTTAATGTGGTAGTAGCTGAGAGTCATCCTCAACATATTCAAGCTCGAACAGAAAGTATTGGGGTGGGTGTCCCAATACTAGTAATTTTTTTTTCCTCAGATTGAGTACAAGTACAAAGACTTCACTTCATTTTGCGTACGTGCTGATACTGAGTACTAATACAGAGTAGTTAATGAGTTAGTACTGAAACATTTTAAATGACTTTAGAAACACATTTATTTTATTACAAACAGCAAACAGTCTGCTGACATCACCGGTAGGTTTTTTATATCTCTAAACTGCGGACATTTTTATTTTTTGTCCTCCGTAACTTGTAAAGTGGAAGAGGAAACATCACCAAGTTCAAAAGTGGTATCGGTTTGAAGTATTGGGGTGTTTTTTATTAAATCAGTGACGAACTGGAGACCTGTCCAGGATGTCCCCAGCCTCTCACACAGTGACTGACAGATATGGGCACCAGTGACCCCTGAAGGAAGAAGCTGGTAAAAGATAAATGGACTGTACTGATATAGCACCTTTCTATCTTATTAAGACACTCAAAGCTCTTTACCCTCATTTACCTATTCATACAGCACTCTATTAGATCTATACAAAGACTAATCAGTGTTTTATCACATTCATACACTGATGGGACACACATCGGAGGCAATGAGGGGTTCAATGTCTTGCCCAGGGACACTTCAGCATGTGACGGCTGGTGGAATTGAACCCCCAACTCTTGCATTGGAGGACAACTACTCTAACCACTCAGCCACAGGTGCCCAAAGAAAGAAAGGTATGTTTATATGTATGGATGGTGTGTTTTTATGAGTACAAGTACTTGGGCGCAGCATCGGACATCACTAAATAATATTGCATAACGTCATTTTAAAAAGTTACTCTGTCCCTTTTTAGCATAAGACAATTTTAAACTTTGGCATGAAAGGTGACAAATATTGAAATGGGGCTGTTTGAGTGTATCTAAAAATAATAATAATAAAACATAAAAAAACAGACTGTTCCTGAAAACTTGCATTTTTATGCACATATGACCTTAAACTGTATTTCTCCCTACTTACGGTGTTCAGTACGATGGAGTTTTAGGGCCGCACTAAGACAAAAAATTATACTACGAGAAATAAGTCATAATATTACGAGAATAAATGCGTAATATGTTCCTAGGTCGGCTTGCACCTGCTGTGGACAGACTAACGCGTGTCACAGTGTTTATGAAGTAGTCTGCAATCACTTTTGGGTCACTGTTTGTGGAATATGTCTCCATCCACATTATGTCACGACTAAATCTGTCAATCCAGCCATTAATTGCAATGTCATATGGCTTCAGTTTATCATAAGAATCCATATGTGACAGAGCGTTGCACCCCCTGCTACTGTACTGCCGATATAAACATTCATCATTTTACTGCAGTTGTAACTTAAGACTGCTTTTACGTGTTGGAGTTCTGATAATATTAAGACTACTCTGGTAATATTACGAGCTTATTCTCATAATACTAGGCCTTTATTCTTGTATTATTTCAATTTTTTTCCCCATAATACGACTTTATTCTCGTAATATTTCAACATTATTTTCGTACGACTTTATTCTCGTAATATTACGAATTTATTTGTAATATTACGTAATCAAAAAGATCTGAAGCTCTCCACCTTGACCTCTCTAAGTGGCTTCAAACATCTGCTAAGTTCCCGGCAAAAACCAATACATACATGTTCCTGTTTTTAGTTTTCTACACTGCCCTACAATCTAGCAGTTCTTTGTTACAAATTCTTTTAAACACCACTTTATTTTCATTTGTAAAAACAAAATCAAAAAAATCTCAACTTGTACGTATCCTTTATAATTGTCTAGTATTGTCTTTGTTGTCATTACTCTTTGTTGAAATCAGGTCTCTCTTGTAAATGAGTCCCCATGGCTCAATGGAATTAACCTATTCTCGTAATACTGACTTTATTCTCATAATACTATGACTTTATTCTTGTAATACTATGACTTTATTCTCGTAATACAATGACTTTATTCTCGTAATACTATGACTTTATTCTCATAATACTATGACTTTATTCTCATAATACTATGAATTTATTTTCATAATACTATAACTTTATTCTCGTAATACTATGACTTTTCTCGTAATACTGACTTTATTCTCATAATACTATGACTTTATTCTCGTAATACTATGACTTTGTTCTCGTAATACTATGACTTTATTCTCGTAATACTATGACTTTATTCTCGTAATACTATGACATTATTCTCGTAATACTATGAATTTATTCTCGTAATACTGTGACTTTATTCTCGTAATACTGTGACTTTATTCTCGTAATACTGTGACTTTATTCTCGTAATACTGTGACTTTATTCTCGTAATACTATAACTTTATTCTCATAATACTATGACTTTATTCTTGTAATACTATAACATTATTCTCGTAATACTATGACTTTATTCTTGTAATACTATAACATTATTCTCGTAATACTATGACTTTATTCTAGTTCGTAATGTTTTTTTTTTTAAACTTAGCGTGGCCCTAAAGCTCCATCAAAGTTCAGAGAGCTATCTGCAACAGGTAAGATATTTATTCATAACCTGGCCTATTAATTTTTATCCATCCATCCAAAGGTGAAGGGCATGCCTGGACATGCTGTGAGCCGCTCTCCTTGCTGCCACTAATCAATCTAACGCAGAACAGCTGCTCAACAAGTTCATTTAAAACTAACTTACAAATCTTTTCTTGTTTCTTGAATTTCGTTAAGCATTAGCTTTCCATCAGACAGAGCGCGTGGGCTTTTAAAACGGGCGCCTTTTACACGAAAGTTGCATCGTGTTTTGTCACACGAAGCGTATGTTCCTGCGTGTTTTCGAACCGAGCCACGCGCACAGCGCCGTCCCGGAGATAAATACAGAATTTACATTTTTAACCAGCCGGACCGCAGACAAACCGAGACTCTGTCACCGTTCATCTGGGCCTATTTATTAAAGCGCGGGCATGTTCATTCAGCACCTATTGTGGCTCAAAGACCGAGACGTTCTTAATTTTGAGCGCTACCAGCCGCTTCTTGGCACATGCAGAGTGAGGCCATTGTTCACCGTAAGGTCCCTCCGGCCCCGTGTGGTTTTTGTACCTGCTATAAATACCCTCGGTGATTCGGTTCCGTTTTAACGGCCGTCGGAGTTTGCTGCAGTCCGCATTGCGCCGCTTCATCCTCCCCCTGTTGATTCACTTGTGATATCGGTCTGATAACTGGGACTGGGAATGTCATCCGCTCATCCTAGTATTCGCATTTCTTCAATTATCCTCCATTGTTGTTGTTTTATGCTCATGAAACAAAGAAATAAATAAAAACAGACCCCGCTGAAGGCCCGCCCCCTTTTTTGACGACAGGCTGCGTAAGCCCGCTGACGTCTGACGTCACGCCGTCGACTGCGAAAGACGTACGAACATGGCTGCTCCCTGTTAGCTGAGTAGTTTCTCTAAATTGTGGCCTTTTCTTTTTTAAACAAACCATTCTTAGCGGTAAGTGGGATTATTACGCGACTCTGTAGTCGTTTAGTTGATTTCTGCTGTACTGTTTTGCTAATTAAACCCTCGATAAATCATTGTTTGGCTATATTGTACAAAAAAAAATCATCGCATGCCTTCTCAGCCACGTTTGTTTTGTATCTTTTAGTCACATATTTCATGAGCTTTTTGTTCTAAGCAATCAGTTTAGCTAATTTTGGCTAAATCAATAATTTAAGATAGTTCAACTAAAGTTGTTCTTAATATCGAGAGCGCAGTAGATATTAATGATGGCCAGCAAAGAAGCTTTAAGTTCTCGATGCTCAGTGGCGCCACCTGCTGATTAAAATGTTATATGAATAAACTGTAAAAGAAGACAACATTCAGTGTTGTACACTGGCTTGTGCTCCCGTGGCTGGGTTGGCTCTATAAAAAATATGAGTATTAAATACAAAACGGCTTAAATGGTGTTTTGTCCTGCTCCTCCATTACAGCCAACTGTCATTAGGAAGCACACAAATGGCCATCACTCAGCTTATTTTACTGACATTGAGCTTGAATGGTAGTAGCTGAGTGTTACCCCTAACACATACTCCAAGCACTACACATTGCTCATCATCATTGCTTAAAACTTTGGCATTAACTTCAGCAGATATGCATTTTTGTAATCCTTGGCTTTCAATTCATCCCATTTTTTCTGTTGCACCAGATCATGTTAGTGATGACTAATGGATAATTGTTCTATTTCTCACTAGATGATAAATATCAAGGAGAAAACAATGCAGTTTGTTGATGAAGAAAAGAATGTGGAGGAGGTAGAAGAAGAAGAAGAAGAAGAAGAGGACGATGAGGAAGGAAATAAAGGAGAAAGTTCAGATGATGGTGACGAAAATGAAGATGAGGAGGAAGGAGACGAAGGAGAAACAAGTTCAGATGATGGTGATGATGAGGATGAATCGTCATCACACACCGCTGGTGAAAAGCTTGTGGTTCCCACTCAGGTTAAAGAGAAAAAGAATGTTTTGAATGTGAACAATGAGGTTGTGAAGATGAGGAAGGAGGTGAAGAGGATCAGATCGCTGCTCATCAGGAAACTGACACGTCAGATCGGTGCCTTGAAGAAGAAGACGGGAACAGAGGACGAAGTTGAGAGGAATCAGAAAAGAGCTACAAGACTGCTGGAGGAGGTCCACTGCATGAAGAAGCTCCTACCTGATCGGGTATAGTTATTCTGTTTCTTCTCTGTGCCTCAAAAGAAAAAACAAACAAACACAAACATGCATCCACCGTGTCATTTAATAAACAAAAACAAAACGGAGAAGTCACAAATAAATCTATCCCAGCTGCTTCCATAGAACATGAATGAAAGTAGTATTGGTTAACTGGTCACCATCAGTGTAGCCACGTCTAGCATACAGGTAACACAATGCCGAGGAGGAAATACATCAGCAATAACCTAATGAACCAATGTTACTGCTCATCAGTATAGAAAGGGTCAAAAGTAATTTGCCAGCATCCTACAGAGAGAAATATTATTTACAAATGGAAAACATTGAAGACAGTTGTGGATCCTCCCAGGACATCCCAGCAAATTCACTGCAAGGTCAGACCATGCAAATATAGAAGGCTCTAAGATATATACTAACAATAATAATATAAATAAAGTGTATTAAATAGCAGCCTGAACATGAGTCTGTTGTGAGCAGATGGGTATGAATACAGCAGCTTACAGGCAAGAGATCAGCAGCATGGAGAATCAACAGCACAGATAAAGTGTCAAACGTCCAGTTAAAGTGGCATTAAAGTTTTTTTTTTTCACAGTGATAATCCTGATTAGGGAATGAGTCTAACAGCCTCAGGGTAGAAGCTGTTCCTCAGTCTAGTGGTTCTACACTTAATGCTCCTCAACCTCCTTCCAGAGGGGAGCGGGGCAAAAAGTGTGTGTGCTGGGTGAGTGGGGTCCTTCATGATGCAGGTGGCCCTCTTCCTGCATCTGGAGGTGTAGATGTCTGTGATGGTAGGGAGACTGACTCCAACATCTTCTGTGCAGCCTTCACCACTCTCTGCGAAGCTTTTCTTTCTGCAGCTGTGCGGCCTCCATGCCACACATTGATGCTGGAGCACAGGATGCTCTCCACTGCACACCTGTAGAAGGAGGTGAGGACTGAGCTTCCCAGACCAGCTCGTCTCAGCCGCCTGAGGAAGTAGAGTCTCTGGGTCAATCACAAAATCATTTGTAGACCAAAGTTTTCTAGAGTCAGATGTGAGGTCGTCTGTCCAAAAGCTGTGTGCCATACGGCAGGACAGTGGTTCCAAACGCAGCAGCAAATCTACAAGGAGGTGTCAAGAAACGGTTCAAGGTGTTGCAGTGGTCCAGTCAAAGTCCAGACCTCAACCTGATAAAAATGTTGTGATGGGACCTTAAGAATGCTGAGCAGAAACAAATGTCTGCAAACCTCAGTGCCCTGAAGTAAGTCACGCTGTAAAGAAGAGTGGGCCAGAACACCTCCATAATATGAGAAACTAAAAATGTTTACTGAGCGTTATTGCTGCTAAATAAATGCTCATGTTCAGGCTTCTGTTTAATACACCGTATTATTTTATTTACATTATTATTGTTTCTTTTTTACTTTATATTTTTGCTATTGTTGGATGTAACTGGGCCCTTGAGTACACAATTTCATTCCACCTCATGTACCACATGTGATGCAAATGACGATAATGAAACTTGCAAGAAGGTTCAGCAAACTGCTGGATCATAAAGTAAACTTAATTTTTTATTTATTTATTAAAGACAAGGTTTAATCTGTTGTGGTTTTGTACATCTATGGTTAGATCAGAATCATTTGAGGACCAGGCTCCTGAACTGTAAAACCACAAAGAAATGAAATTAGACTTTGTTTTCTCCATTGCTCTAATACATGTTTTATTTATGCTTTAATACATTTTTTTATTTGCAATTTTGGCAGGTGACCAGGACAGCTTTGCGGAAGAATCTCAACTTTGAGCAGGTGTGCAAAAACCCCAAGTCCACGATATCTGAGCGAGCTGTTGCACGCATCGGCACCCACCCTCAGTTCAGTAAAAAGATCGAGAGCATCAAAACTGCTGTGAAAGCCTTCAAAGAGGAGCACAGCAAGGCTGGAAAGCAGCGAGGGGACACAAAGGTTCAAAGGCTACCTAAAAAGGCGACGTTACCACCTCCAGATGCAGAGGTAGTAAAACAAGTTGCAAACATCCAAGGCGGTGATGCTGTGGAGCCTCGGGAAGGCACAGACGGTGAGAAAGGAGTGGGCGTCCTGAAAATGACTAAAGATGGAGCTGCTGCCAAAGCCGAGAAGGAAATCAAGAAACCTGTCCAAAACTTTCACAGAAAAGAAACGACGGCGTCCACACATGTAAGATCAACTCCAGAAAAAAATACTTTGGAAAAGGACCCTGAGACACTTAACCCTCCTAGTAAATCTGATGAAGACATGCCCGAACTGCAGTGCGTCCCTACGGTACTTCACGTTCAGGCAGAAGAAGAAGAAGAAAGCGATGTGGCGTCGTCAGATAACGAGGTGAAAGAATACTTTGATGACAGTACGGAGGAACGCTTTCGCAAGCAGTCCTCCCAGTCTGAGGAGAGCGACGACGACTTCTTCGTAGGAAAAGTGAGCAAATTCAAGAAGAAGAAGAAGAAAGAAATGGGCGAGGAGAAGATGGTGAACAAGGGTCAGGATACGACTGGATCAGCAGATAATTTGGGACCTCGTGAGAAACTCGAGAGTCAACTCCTTGAGCTTGAGTCGAGATTGAAGTCTAAAGCTCTTCAGTCTGTTTTCTGTTCTTCTCTGAGTAGAACTAAAGCTGTTCCAGGCTCCGACCGAAGGAAGGGTGGGGGTCACATCGAACATCAAGGGAAGCTGAGTGCTGCCAGCAGGGCCAGAGGAGATTATTCAGATAAACAGCCCGTTAAAGGTCAGGAAATGAGTACTTCATATTCCAGATCCAAGTTCAGCAAGCCCTACCCCGACAGTAGACACCCAGAGTCTTATAAAAAGGAGGCGACGGGCCATGGACGAGGAAGAGGAGGCGCTCAAAGTGGAAAGGATCGAAGAGGTGGAGATGTCTTTTCTCATGAGCCGCCGCTTCATCCATCCTGGGAGGCCAGCAAGAAAAGGAAGGAGCAGCAGGGTCAAATCCTGGCCTTCCAGGGGAAGAAGATTAAATTTGATGATGATGACTGAGACAGTCTTATTTCATTTTTTTTAATCGTGTCTTGAATTATTTCTGTACTGATTCCTGCGAGATATAAAGACTACCACTTCAGGTGATCCAACACCAGTGGAGCTCTGTGAAATCCTGGCTAAATATATTAAATCTTCAGATGTTTGTCAATAAAAACACGTGTATTTTGAACATTTCCAAAGTTGGTAAAATCTAGTGATCATTTATTTTTGTTTCTAAGGGTGTTGTTAAATCACAAGTTTATTACAACTTACCATACCGGGCCAGCTTTATTTATGAAACACTTTAACAACCGTAGGACCAAAGTGCTGTACAGTTACAGTCAATAAAACCAACAACAGCCTTATATTAAAAACAAATGGATCAATCAATTTAAAAAAAATCTGCCTCAGATGGTGTCAAAAGCTACGCAGAAGAGATGAGTTTCAAGAAGTCGGGTCTCTTGTAAATGAGTCCTCGTGGCTCAATGGGACTAACCTGTTTAAATAAAGGTTGAATGAAAAAGAAGTAATTTAAAAACAGATGGAAGCCTGTCTGATGCTCAGAGAGGATGCTCCACATTTTAGGAGGAACAACAGAGACATGCATCCCCTCAAAGCTTTACTGTCTCAAAAGTCTAGTAAGAACTGACTTGACTTTAGCCAACTGCCTCAACTGAAAAAAAGCTTAATTTTAACCACTGCCCTAATTTAATTATCAAATTTAAGATAATCTACTTTTGCTGTTAGGTTTGTGATCACTGGTTAAATCTTGAGCCAAGAAATGCAGATCTACATGCAGGGTGTCCGTATTTGTTCCAAAATACATAAACTCAGTCTTATTCAAATGCAAGATGTTTAGAGGCATCCATGTGTAATTCTTCGAGACATTTCAATAGTGGTTTGGAGGAAAATGAGACCTTTTTCTTAAATCATCCACATAAAGGGAAAATTGGTGCTTTAGCAGTAGTAAATAAAAACAAAAGAGAAGGGATCCTAAAACGGAACCCTGTGGGACTCCACATAAGAGCAGCAGAGGAGGACGCAAGGCCACCACAGATAACAGAAAGTTTGCTTGCTCGTATATTTGACTCCATGTTGTGCCTCTAATACCCCCCCCCCCCTCCTCCAAATGAGAAAGTAATAATGGGATGGTCCACAATGTCAAAGGCAGCAAAGTAAAAGCACGAGGACAACACAATCTCCTGTCAGTGGCTATAAATATGTTTTTAAAAGGCTTGATTTGGTGCTGTGTAGTGATTTAAAAGCGAAATGTAAAACCTTTCAAATATCTTTGCTTGTTCAAGAAAGCCATCAACTACTTTCTCAATCCACCAAAGTTAAGTCAGGTCCTCTGGGCGTTTTCTTTATGTTGAAACGTTTCGTCTTTCATCCAAAAGACTTCCATCAGTCTGAGGAGCCACAACAAACTCAGTCCCATAAGTAGCACACTCGCATTGATGTGTTGAACCTGCATTTTGGCCGTGCCTGCCTCAGATGAGTCGGCGGGGGAGATCGAGGGCTCCACAAACCAGCATCAAACTGGTTGGCCCACTGCGAGCGCTGCTTATAGGACTTGTTGTGGCTTCCTCGGACTGAAGAAGTCTTGTGGATAAAAGACGAAATGATACAACAAAAAGAAACAGTCCAAAGGACCTGACTTAACTTTGCTGGATTTGTTTTACCTGGATTATTGAGCATGAATGATACTTTCTCAATTATCTTAGAAAGAAAAGTTAATGGCCTGTAGTCGACAACAACAGGGATCTAGAGCTGTTTTTTTTTTTTAAACCAAAGGCTCGAAAAGGCATGTTTAAAATTTATAAGAATGATACTTGAAGATAAGTTTGCTCAACATGGAGTTTATTTCAAAGAAACGTCGTCCCAAACAGTTCTGCTTTGCTTCTTTTGCATGATCTGTTTTACACAGCCTCCACACACCCAGGACATCACATTGTTTCTCACTTTGCATTTAGTCAAAATTTATTCACTTGTGGATTTTTCCAAGAGAAGTTACTGATTTTACATATGATCCTTTATTCTGAGTATGTGGAGGAGCTTTTTTAGACGTAGATCCAGGACTTTATTAAAAATCCTGAACTTTCTGCAGCCCCTTTTTGTACGCCATTAATATTAATACTAAAGTCAATGTAGCTAATAAATGCAGTACTGCACAGTATTTTTGTTGTCCACGCAAAGGGCAAATTATTCAACTATATAAGTAGTTCAGTGTGACACAAATGACTGAATAAAATGTTTCATTTAACTATTTGTCACCATTTTTTCTCACTAAAACAGATTTATAGTGGAAAAACAGCAATGCATATCTTTAATTAGTTAATTGATTTATTTAATTCACTAATCTTTAATTCGTACGTTTTTAAATTGTCATTGAAAAGTATGTTTTGAGACACAATTTTTATGATAATAGTTTTCTGTATTTTTCTCAATAGAAAGTTTTTTAATTATGTTTTTAGATTGTTTTATTTTGAAAGCGCACCGTGTTTGGCTTGACGCTCTCTGTGTACTTCCGGTAGCTGTACGTGTCTGTTAGCACGAGCTACACTATCGTCTGAAACATTTCCTGCTTCAGCTGCTACGAGCTCCGCTACAAATCTTGAAGGTGGAGAATTCAGAAGCGATGCAGTGAAATCTTTTTACGGACCGAAGAGAAGGAGGCTGTCACCGGCCTGAGGTGAGCACGAGGGGGGAGGAAACTAGCTAAACAGTTAGCATCAGTTAGCACCAGCAGCGTCACCCACCACGTCATGCATCGTGTAATAAAGCATCTTGGTTATATATAAGTTAATACTTTGGTTGTTTATCGCATTGTCTTGTCATAAGTCTCATCAAGAACTTTGCAGAAACTGCATATCTCACTCAGCAGGTCGCTCAGCAGTATCAATAACAGATTAACACCCCCAAAGCATAATGTTTCCACCTCCATGCTTTACTGTGGGGATGGTGCACTACATGTCAAACTCAGCCTTTCACTTCCTCCAAACACAGCAGGTTGAAATGTTCAATTCAGTTTATTTTTCAGTATCAAATGGCGTTAGACAAAGTGGACTTTTGTCTCCTGTCCTTTTTAACGTGTACCTTCATGATTTGTCTATTGAACTAAATGATAGTAAGACTGGGTGTATGGTGGGTAACCGTCTTGTAAATCATTTCATCATGTACGCAGACGATCTGGTCCTGTTTTCTCCCTACAGTGCTGGATTGCAGCAGTTAATCAGGGTGCTGGACATGGTGTCCAATTTGACATTATGTTTAAACCTAAGAACTGTTGTTGTGATTGCTACAACTAAGGAGGATCAGAAGATGAATTTTCCTTATTTTTATTTAGCAAATCAAGTTTTGGACGTGGTGAATAATGTGAAATATCTAGGTCGTATTCTGAGGAGTGATCTCTGTGATGATGATGATGTGAAGCGACATTGTTGTAAGTTGTACATGCAAGCTAATATGTTGGCACGTAAATTTATCATGTGTACAGATGAGGTTAAAGTGTCCCTATTTCAAACTTATTGCACCTCCTTTTATACGGCTCACCTCTGGTCAGTGTTGCCAAAAAGAGTCGAGATTTTCCAGCCCAAAAATCTGTTTAAAAACTGCCACATCATGCAAAAATACGCCCAATCAATATATTGTTACAGTAAATTTACGGTTTGAACATGAACGTGCATCAGTACAAGCCAAGGTAGTTTAACAATATGTGGCAAAATGCAACAGTCCAACAAAAATCTTCCCAGAATTCCCAACAAAATCAGAATGGAAACCGCCCAATTGGCAGTAAACCGCCCAATCTGGCAACACAGCCTCTGGTGTAACTACAGTAAAGCTATAATGAAGAAACTGCAAATAGCCTAGCAGGATGCATTTAGAATCCTCCTCAGACTTCCAAGATGGATATCTGCAAATAGGCATGTCGCTATAAACAATAAATCAATTAATCGCATGATAAATGAAAATTATCAACTAGGGCTGAGTACTGAACCGAGGTTCTTTTATATCTCAGACCGAATTGCGTCAGTCGGTGTATGGATTGAAACGTCACTCTTTTTTCAGTGTCAAGTTTCAGTATTGGCTGTAACGTGTCACGCGGTTTCAGCAGGTCGGCAGACACATGACAAACAGACCCCATGTTTACACCCAGAGCTGTATAGAGCTGCCATACAGCTTGTATGTCTATGGTGCTGGTTACGCCCACAGATGGGGTTCATGTGTGCAGCGCGTGTGTTGTCGAACGGCTTTGACAACACGCAACTTTCTGCTTACAAGCAGTAACCTGTTTTTCTGCAAGAAGAGAGAAGGACATCAGCCTTCCCCCCCTCCTCTCAGCATTAAAGTCAGCCTGTGAGTGTTAGAGAGCATGAACGGACTGAATCAACATTCCACAACCGGACGGACTCCTCTTCATCAAAGAACTCCGAGGATGGAGCTGTGTCTGTGTTTCAGCTGGTGAGTTTACGTTTGTTAACGTTACTGCAGCTTAACACGTACATCGTGGTGAATTAAACTAGAATCCATGTAACGCTAACGTTAAGATATTAGTGTGTAAATTTATTTTATCTACGTAGTTAGCTAAACTCAGAAGCTAACTAAAGATTGACAGTAACAGATGAAGCTTAGCTTGTAAAACTGCTCATCCATCGGATCAGCTGGTTAAAAAGTTCAGCTAATGTTCATTGTTTGTTAATGTTCTCCTCACAGGAGGTTCTGACCCTGATGTGAGGACAGAGAAAAGAAAAGTGAGGTGAGGGCCACAGGACAGTCACAAACTTTGTTGTTAAAAGTTTGCTGCCTTTTCTACAGTGGAGGCTGCATGGTGGAGGTAAGTTAAGCTGCAAAGGATATTTTTGACCAGTTAAGCTTTTATTTCTCAGCCTAGATAATGTTTTTTGATCAAAAATAACACAACCATGTTATTGTTGATGTTTGTGTTCTAATGTCAATTAGGGAGATGATCAGAGCCCTAAACCCCAGAGAACCACAGAGAAGATTCAGGCAGAGACACAGAGGTGCAGAAGTCTGTATCAACCCTAACCTCAGTGAATCCAGTGACCTGCTGGTGGGATGTGAGGGACAATATGTCAGTGCTATCAAACTGACAACCAGGTATCTGTGTGTGCAACAAGCATCATCCACACCCTCAGAGTGAACATTTACTACTGCTGGAGACACCATCAGCCAGGAGCCGCTTGTTTGTGTCCAGAGAAAACGGACATGTTGATTTTTCTGAAGAAAAACTGTTCAGTGAAAAGGTCCTCAGTGTGTAGCAGTGAACATTAGACACTGACGTGTCACTGGTTTGCAACTGTTCTTTTGATCTGGACATTATTTGTTTATTTTTCTGTAAGAAAACTGCTTGGAATAGAAATACCAAAGTTAAAAAAATAAAACTCACAATTTGTACTGTAATGTGTAACGTCATTTTATTCTTGTTAGAATTAATAGTAATTACAAAATTGGTACCAAAAAAAGAACCGTCCAGGAACCGACACCGAAGTGAAGGTACCGACACCGGTACCAATACCGATTTTTTTTTTAGAAAGGTACCCAGCCCTATTATCAACCTTATTTTCATTTATCAGCTTTATTGTTTCTTCATGTGTCTCTCTTTCTACTGAAGACACTGGATGACAAAAGGCTCAACTCTGGTGCTCTTCACTGACCCCTCCCTTTCTCTTTTCTCTTGAAAATCTGTTTTAACAATCCAAAATCAAGTTTTTGGATTGTTAAATGCAGCTAAGCTACGAGCTAAGCTAACAGGCTGACCTCTGGAAAAAATGTCTGTCTTATCAAAGCTCCAAAATTCACGGTTAAAACCCGTGTCTTTGTGTAAAAAGTCGTTTTATTCTGCAAAAAGAAGTTGAGAACTGGCTTACTGATTTTTTTATTAAAAGCTTTGTGTGACAAATGCTATGCTAAAGAGCTCAAACCACACCGAGCGTCTGTCATTTTGAGAGAGAACCGAAAGCCTGGAGGGAGAGACAGCCCATGTCATGTCAAGGGGCCTCCCTCCCATTATTCTTAAAGAGACACACTGCTCCCTCCCTCACTATCCATCCTTCGGTTCAAACAGTCTTGTACTGCCATCCAGTGGTCAAAAAAGATACTACACACAAAAATTAACAAACATTTCTTCTTAAATTTGATAATAATCGATAATTATTGTCAAATTTCAAACAGTATTATCAATTGTTGCAATAATTTCCGAGACAATTAATTGCCCAGTAAAATTTGTTATTGTGACAGGCCCATTGTCATCACTTTCACAATGCACGGTCAGGTACATGCGTTACTGTTTGTGAGTATAAACCGTAGCAATGGCAGCTAGCAGTAGCACTTCCAGTTTGAGTTAAAAGCCGGTGCTTTTGACGTTGTCTGTTCTGTCAGCGTTCGGCTCATAACCGTGGTTTTGTGCGACATGGGTGGAGCTGGAGCTGGAGGGTGACTCTGATAGTCACTCTGTTCAGTTCTGCCAGCGTCCGTGGCGCAGAAGTTCGAGAAGGTGGACCTGTGGTCACCGGTTCGACCCCCTGGAGCAACAACATCAAAATATGGGTGGGAAAGGTGAAGCAGCACCCACACCTGCCTCCACCCTCATTTGTCCCACTCTGGGTCCTTAACCCCCACCATCTGCTCCCCCGGCCGCCCTAGATGCAACTCTCTGCTCCACACAGAGGCTGTGGTAGCTCAGTGGTCTGTGGTTGCATCAGGACGGGTCATCCGGCGTAAAAACATTTGCCTAGTCTTTGTGCGAGTTAGTTCGCTGTGTGACCCCTGAAGAAGTGATCTGCTGAAAGAAGAAGAAGAAGAAAAAAGTGTCCGTATTGATTGATTGATTGATTGATTGACTGATCTGTGTGTCACATGGACAGGACACATAACTAGTCTGACTGTGCCAGAGTTCTAGCTGGGTTCAGGGCATCTTCAACATTTTTCATTCAGTGACTGTTTGTACATTTATATAACAGCTTTTGTCTCTAGTTCTTTAGTTGATATTCTGTCTTTCTTTATTAAAATAAAACTATTATAATTTAGAGACTGTTCATTTCTTAAGTTTTCCAAAATCAGGAAGAGATCAAGTAATAATTACCCTTACAGTACCTCAACAAAAGTCTGTTTTGTCTTGTTTAAATGCCAAACTTTCTACACATGCTGCTTTCTGATTTGTTGTGGATTTGTTCCTGTAGGACAAACAAAATGCTGAAGGTGGAACATGATGATTCACAGGAGAGTAAAGATGGGATCATAAAGATTGAGGCTGAGACGGTCAAAATCAAGGAGGAGGACATGTCTTTCCACACTTCTCCAGAATGTAATGGTAAGACTTTGTCCTGTATTAAGTTTTATCTCTCAACTGAAAACAAAGTATATTTAATGATGATTAGTTTTTGTTTTACAGAGAGACTTGTTTTAATAATTTACTTGACATTTCTGTATGCCTCTCTCCAACACAACATTCCACTGGTCCTTGTCCTTGGAGAAATGGAAATGTTCAATCTGTACCTGTTTGTTTTTCTCCTAACCCCACAGCACCTAACCCACCGTGTGCGTTGCCACGCAGCGATACCTCACTGTTTTTTCTCACACGGAGGTTCGCAGAGAAGCTGAGTCTCTCAGTTGATGGGGTGTTGGACCTAAAGCTAGTCTCCCAGGAGCTCAATCTGTCAAGGAGACGCATATATGACATCACCAATGTCTTGGAAGGGATCAGACTCATCAAAAAGACGTCCAAAAGTCATATACAGTGGCTGTAAGTATAAGATAATGGATTGGGTACTCTGACACAAATTCAATTGTTTGTTTGTGTACAAATATGTTTGTGGTCACACAATTTCCAAACTATACAATTTATTTTAATGTGAAAGAATGAAAATGCTATGAGTTCACAATCGCAGGTTCCAAATGGCCCACTTTACATTCGCTGCAGTCTTTTACTGGATGCTGAGATAGTAGGCTCGTTCATAAAATAGTTCTGTGAAATGATCGCGTGGAGCAGAACTCAACTGGGCTGAAGTGGTTGCAGGGAATTAAATGTGCGTCAAATGTCTCCCTCGTGTCATTTAATACACTTGTTGAATTATCTCACTTAACGGTCCTCTTTGTGGTTAACTACTTTAAACTAATTACAAATTTGCTGTCTGTCATCATCAGTATTCCCCTGTGATAAATCTAATGTTTAATCCCTTAATGCATATGTGTCAAACTCAAGGCCCGGGGGCCAAATGTGGCCCTCATTGACATCTTATCTGGCCCCCAAGATGTTATTTTAAATGTAAAATACTTTTATTTTTTTTCCAAATATCTTTGATTATGATGTAAAAAGTGCAACAGAGAACATCAAATGAGATCAATCAAACTCTTGTTGAGGAAGCTGCAACCAAGAAAATATGTTGGGTATCTGATTTGAGTTAATGTAGATTCTGAAACCAGCCCTTAGTTTGAAAAAGTTTTAATTTTGGCCCTGTTTTGTAAGTGAGTTTGACACCCTGCCCTAATGTAATCAATTGATCAAATTACAGAGAGCTGCAGCTCTACAGTTTTTGTTTTTTTCACACGTTGGCCAGCTCGGCACCGATACCTCACTTGGAAGCACAGAGGAACAGCAGAGGTAGGCTGTTTCAGACCCTCTCGTTGCCTTGGTGTGTCTTCTGGATGGACCGAGATGACCAGAACAGGTCTCAGTCCCGGACTGAGGTGTCTTGTGAATGAGTATTGTAGCAACCCACATCTGTCCACCAAACAGCTGTAGGGTAATTTGATTTGAGACTGTAATCTGTTGTAGACAGGCTGTTAAAATGCAAGAATTCCAATGGGGTGTTTTTAAGGTTTTCCAAGTACTTTAATTTTGAAGAAATTGTAACATTTCCATAAGTATCAACTTTTAACAAAAATGCTAAAAATTCATCTTAGTTTCCTCTCATTTATCTTTATCACTGCCAAGATGTTTCTACAACTTGATTCAAGTTCACCTATGTTAAATTAAACAGATTAGGCATGATTTGGGAAGCAACACGTCTCTAAATTATTGGTAAACTATTGGAATTAAGAGGGCCAAGACCACATATGCACAGAGGATCCAGGGTCAATTCACCTCACAAGACCCACGGAGCATGTGGAGGGACATAGTGTATAACAGCAGCACTAGACTCACCTCACCACCGGATGAAGAGCTTCTCAGTGTGACCTCAGCCGAAGTAAGGAGTACAGGAAGATGAACCTTCACAAAGCAACCGGCCCAAGCAACATCCCCGGGAAGGTGTTGAAAGAATGTGCCAATCAGCTCTGTGAGGTGCTGGCCGGCATCTTTTAACTCCTCGCTTACCCTGGCAACAGTTCCCACCTGCCTGAAGTCCGCCACCATCATCCCAGTTCCAAAGAGCTCATGAATGACTACTGGCCAGTGGCCCTCACCCCGATAGTCGCTAAATGCTTCGAAAAACTAGTCATGACCCACATCAAACAAACATCAACGAGGACCCTCACCAGTATGCATACCGCAAGAACGGATCAACAGAGGACGCCATCTCCTCTGTTATCCACACTGCTCTCACCCACCTGGAGCAGAAAAACTCTTATGTCCGTGTGCTTTTTGTGGACTTCACGTCTGCCTTCGACACCATGATCCCCCAAACCCTGATGGAAAAACTACTCGCACTAGGACTAAGCCCCTCCATTTGCAACTGGGTCCTAGACTTCTTAACAAACAGACCTCAGTCTGTGAGAATCCACAACTTCTCCTCCTCCACCATAACCCTCAGCACTGGCTCCCCTCAGGGATGTGTGCTGAGCCCTCTCCTGTTCACTCTACTCACGTATGATTGTGCAGCTACCCATCCAGGCTGTCACATTGTAAAGTTTGCAGATGATACAGCGGTGGTGGGATGCATCACAAACAATGATGAGTCCAGCTACAGGCAGGAGGTGGAACACCTGGAGAGCTGGTGCAAAGAGAATAGCCTTCACATCAATGTGAAGAAGACAAAGGAGATGATCGTGGGCTTCAGAAAGAACAAACACACCTATCCCCCCCCCCCCCCCTCCACTCCCTGAACATAGGAGGATCTGCAGTGGAAGTAGTCTCCAGCTACAAGTACTTGGGTGTGCACCTGAATGACAACCTCAGCTGGGGCAACAACACCACCTGCCTGATCAAGAAAGCTCATCAGAGACTCTACATGTACCACATGTGGTGCAAATGACAAATAAAGAAACTCTTGACTTAACAGAAGGCATCCCTGCTGATAATCAGAGCAAAAACCAGCCATGAGACCAAAAAACCTGCCTGTGGAGCTCAGAGACAGGACTGAAGCAAGGCACTGATCTGAGGATGGCTACAAAAACATTTCTGCTGCCCAGAAAGTTCATATGAGCTCAGTGGCTTCCATAATTATCAAATGGAAGAAGTTTGTCACTACCTACCAGGACTCATTTAAGAGCTGGTCACCTGGCAACTCGGAGCAGTTGAGGAAGAAGGGCCTTAGTGAGAGGGTTGATCAACAACAGATGATCACTCTGTCTGAGTTTTAGAGGTCCTGTGTGTATTTAGGACTAAGTTCCTGAAGAGGAACCAGTGCTGCTGGCTTCCACTGATCTGGACATTAAAGCAGAGTGGCTCAAGGTAAGTCTCTGCTATGAGTCAAGAAAGCTGATTAAATTCCTCTTAGAGGATCAAGATTCTCTGACCTGATAAAAATTTGTGATTAAACTGTTTGCCTTCAGTTCTAAGCATTCTGTTAATGGGTAATCAGGCACCATTCATCACCTTTCCAACACCATTCCAACAGTGAAGCATGGTTGTGGCAACATCATGTAGTGGGGGTGTTTTTCAGCAGCTGAGAATGGGATAGCTTCAAGATAGAAGTGGGACTGTATCAATGATCGGCTCTGACTGAGCCCTTTCCTGTTTGCTCTGGTGATGAACTAATTAACAGTTGAGGTCAGGCAGGAATCCCTGTGGACTATGATGTTTGCAGATAATGTGATTTATGGTGAGAACAGGGAATAGGTGGAAGAAACTTTGGCAAGTTGGAAGTGTGAACGTGAAAGAAGATGAATGAAAGTCAGCCATGGCAAGAGAGTGTGTGTGTAAATCAGAGGAGGCAGGTGAAACTGAGGCTAAGGTCACAAAAGTGCAGGATTTCAAGTACTTGGGGTTGACTGACCAGGAAAACAGGGAGTGTTTTAAAGAAGTGAAGAAGAAAGTCCAGGCAAGATGGAGAAACATTTTAGGAGTTATTTTTGACATGGGTGTCAGCAAAGGTCAAAGGAAAGGTTTACAAGAGTAGTGAGACCAGCTATGTTGTATGGTCTGGAGACAGAGACATTGACAACAAAAAAAAAAAACAGGAGAAAGAAGACAAAGAGGAGACACTGCATATGGATGCAGTTAGAGAGGACATGGAGGTTGTTGGAGTGAGGACAGAGGATGGAGGAGGACGACTTGCTGTGGCAGTCCCTGAAAGCTGTAAGAAGAAGATTAGGAAATCTGAATGAAGCAAAGTACAGAAATATCTTTGGAATAAAAAATTTCCACATTGTTCAGCACCCCAGACTGGACTTAATGATCACCTTCCAAAATGAAAATGACCCAAAACACACAGAGAAGATAACGTAAGAGTGGTTTAGGGACAACTCGGTGAATGTTCGAGTGGCCCAGATAGAATGGGTGGTGTCAGGCCATGGTCACATGACTGCACTGCGGTCATATGATGTTTACTGCAGTTTGAGGATTGTCCAGGAAATTGTCTCCACGTACTGCCATGGTACAACCATGATTTGTACTGTACCATCTTCATAAACACTTAAAAATGGGCCTGCCAACAAGCCACATCTTACCTAACTGAGCTTTTGAGCGAGGATTTGCTTAGAATGACAGAAAATCTCCCAGGTGTGCAAATCTTGTTACTTAAAGAGAACTTGGACTATTTGGAACAACAGACTTTATTTGATAAACAATTAATTGATCTATTAAACCGGACTGTAAAATTACAGTAGACTGTTTATTTATAATAAAATTTTTTAAAAAAATCATACAGATGTCACCATTTTATTTATACTACAATGCATTTTGGGTAAATGACATAGACTGATTGTTCCAGTGCAAGCTTCAGCTTGAATGGCTGTTGTGGAAATTATCTGATGTTAAGCACTTTTATTTTGAACCAGAGCATGGAGCTAATATATGTAAGACGTTAGCTCCGGAGCTAATATATAATTCATTGGCTCCAGGATTAATAGATATTATATTACTGGTATTATATTAGCTCCATAGCTAAAAGTATTCGATCCAGAGTTTATATTTTCTTTTATATATATATATATATATATAGTGTTAGCTCCAGAGTTAATATACTTATCATTAGCTCCAGTGTCAATATATACAGTATAGCGTTTAGCTCCAGAGCTAATAGAATTTGATCCAGAGTTCATATATATGGCGTTAGCTCCAGAGCTAATAAATTAAACATCAAGTTGATCATGTTTAATTGTTTTGACCCACTTATTATTTGATTGTTTGATGTTGTTTTTATGCAGGAAATGTGTGGCCATTAACTTTCTTGTACTCTGAAATCTGTGCACAGGGGCAGGAGTTTGATTGACAACACAAATAAACAGTTGATGGCTCTGGCGGAGGAGGAGATGAAGCTGGATGAGCTGATCCAAAGTTGTACACAACAGATAAGAAAGTTGTGTGAGGAACGTCACATTCACAAATATCCTTTATTTGTATGTTTAGCTTTCCTGAGTTCTTCATTGGTGTCAGACAAGACAGACCTTTAAAAGTTATTTTCTGCTAACAAGAAACAACTGTATTTGTTCTTAATTGTAACAAAATCTGCAAAGTTATGTCCAGGATGACTGTTTTTTTCCTAACCCCATGGATCACATATGCCTATCTGACACACACAGATGTCAGAAGCATTCAGAGTTTGAGAGACCAGACCGTGATTGTCATCAAAGCTCCTGCAGAGACAAACGTTCAGGTGCCGCATCCGGATGAGGTACAAAGATGGAGATTTACTCTATTTTATTGTTACTATGGGTTTCACAAGCATTCTCCTATTTTTGCATTTGCCGTTCACCCGATAGCACGGTGGCACAGTTGGTAGAGCTGCTGCCTCTCGGCGAGCAGATTATTCTGGTTCAAATCCCAGTCCATGAGCCTTTCTGGGTGGAGTTTGCATGTTCTCTCCGTGCATGCGTGTGTTTTGTCTGGGTGCTCCGGTTTCCTCCCACAGACCAAAAAACATGCATGTTAAGCTGATTGGTAACTCTAAATTTTCCCTAGGTGTGAGTGAGAGAATGAATGGTTGTTTGTCTCTATGTGTCCTTGTGATGGACTGGAGATCTGTCCAGGTGTCCCCCGCCTCTCACACAGTGACTGCTGGATATGGGGACCAGTGACCCCCGTGACCCAAAAAGGAAGAAGCAAGTAAAGATAATGGACGGATGGATGTTTATAGGAACTTGCATTGACTTCCATTAATTTTTCATTAATTTCTGTAGCCTATTCCTGACCCTAAACCTAACCATTACCAGTACATACCAAACCCTAAACATAACCATTACAAGTACATGTGGGGAGTGGTGGCGCAGAGGTTAGAGAAGGTGGGCCTGTGATCGGAAGATCGCCGGTTCAAGCCCCGGCACCGACAACATCAAAAATGTGGGTGGGGTAGGTGAAGCACCCACACCTGCCCCCACCCTCATTGGCCCCACTCTGGGCCCATGAGCAAGGCCCTTTACCCCCATCTGCTCCCTAAACAGGTCTCTCTTGAAAATGAGTTCTCGTGACTCAATGAGACTACCTGTATAAATAAAGGGTAAATGAAAAACAAAAAAACAAAAAAACATACCTAACCCTAAACCTAACCATTACCAGTACATACCTAACCCTAAACCTAACCATTACCAGTACATACCTAATCCTAAACCTAACTATTACCAGTACATACCTAATCCTAAACCTAACCATTACTAGTACATACCTAATCCTAAACCTAACTATTACCAGTACATACCTCTTCTGTTACAAATAAAGTCCAGTTGTTTTTGTATTGAACATTTTTTGAATTTATCATGTCCTGGATGACTGAGAATCTTCACCAGCATACCAGTACATACCTAACCCTAAACATAACCATTACCAGTACATACTTAACCCTAAACCTAACCCATCTTCAATTCACACCTTTATCTCTAACCTAACCTCTAACTCACCAACGGAACTCCTTATGGGGCCCAAAACCTGGGCCCCATAAGGAGTAGCTGATCCTCACAACGTAGTATGTGTTGGAAAAATGGGCCTTACAAGGTAACAAATATAAAAATGTGTGTGTGCGCGCACACCCAAACACAAATGTAAACAGATTGACAAGTAATGGCTAACCAACCAGACGTTGTGGTGGTTGATAAGCTAGAGAAGAAGGCAGTGGTTATAGATGTTCAATCCCAAGTGACTGTAACATGAAGAAGGAGCACAAGAAGCTCAAGAAATACCAAGAGCTGAAAGAGAAAATACAGAAGTTGTGGAGAGTCAAGACATCAGTAGTCGTCGGAGCACTCATTGCTGTGACCCCCAAACTGGAAGAGTGGTTGCAATAAATCCCAGGAACAACCTCAGAGATCTCTGTCCAGAAGAGCACAGTCCTAGGAACAGCTAAGATCCTGCACAGAACCCTCAAGCTCCCAGGCTTCTGGTACAGGACCCAAGTTTGAAGTGAAGTGGAATCACCCAAGTGGAAGAGAAGGGAGAGCTAGAAGTTTTTTTTTTTTTATTATTATTATTTTTATTACCGTATATACATTCCTGTTGTGACAGCCCCCAAACGAACATCAGTGCAACACCTAAGTGGGAGGAAGTACGAACAATCAAAGGACAGCATGAAGATCAAATAACTCTATAGGTCAGAGACAAAGTTGTGAATAAGTGCTCTGCAGATCAGGGTTGGGTTATAAAAAATATTCCAAACCCTGGACATAGTACCATTAAACCATGATAAGACTGGTCTTCATGGAAGAGGATAAAGACAGTGCTTAAGGAATGTGTAGATTGGACCATTTAGAAATGACTAAAAGGCATTGGAGACTTCCCGAACAAAAAGGTAAAAAGTACTCTGTTGTCATAAGAAACTAAAACTGAACATTTTGGCTATGAAGGACAACAAAGTCTGGTGCAAACCAAATACTTGTCGTCATGCTGAGAACATCATCCCCACAGTAAAGCAGGGTGACAGCAGCATCATGATGTGGTGTTTTAATAAGCTGGTTGTAATTTAAGGAACGATGGATGGAGCACCATATAGATTCTTGTGGGAAGCCTGTGTGGCTCTTCTAGAGATCTCAGACCAGGACTGGGATGGCACCTTCCAGCAGGTTGATGGCTCTAACCACACCGCTGAAGCAACACTCCAGCTGGTTGGGGAGAAACACTGAAAGACCCAGTCTAAGCCCAGATGTCAATCCATCTTAGAAACTTTTGTGATTTAAAGTACATGAGCAGTGTCCATCTAACTTAAGAGGCGCTGGAGCAACTTTTTTCATGAGGAATGGATGAAACTTCCAGAGACTAAATGTGCAAAGCTCATGGAGTCAAACCTGAAGACGATGCTGTAATTGATGCCAAAAGTGGTTCTACAAAGTGATGGGTGGGTGGGGGGGGGTTTAAATAATTTGCATGCAAAGTTATTTTTTCTTTCACAATAAAATAAATTTACATCCTGAAGTGGTTGGAGTATTGTGTAAATTAAAATACCCCACCCAAAGTTTCTCTTGAATTCCAGGTTGCAAGGTAATAAAACAGACAAGGCTAATACTTGCTGTGCATCTTCCACCCCAAATTGTCTTGAAGTGTTTACTTTTTGACCCTTCATAATCAGTCTGCTTGCTGTCCTGCTGCTCAGAGCCTCCGGGTCCACATCAGAAGCATCAACGGACCCATCGAAGTGTTCGTCCTCTCAGAGTCGATGGAATCCTCAGACAACACAGCTGCCAATGGTGTTGATGACGGAACGTTAAATTCAACAACACATGGGAACGATTCCTTCCATTTACCTTCCACGCCTTGCCACCAGGAGTCATCTAGAGGTGAGTTTTGTCCTTGCAATGCTACAATGTATGTCACACACACCACATAGTAGAACGTATCTTCAACCCCCTCCTTGACCGCATTAAGATTGCTGCCTGTCTTTTAAACTTCTGTGGCATTTGTTTTCCCATTTTTTCAACAACATCTTGGTTATCTTTCTAGACGTTGCCAATGGTAGTTGTGAATTGAAGGGATTTTCACAGCCACTGCTGTGCCCTGTCACCCAATTTGCCTCCACATTCCCTGCAACTTCAGTGATTCTGTCCCTTCTCCTCTGGCCTTGTCCCTCTACAGGAAGGATTACGTCTTCAGCCTGGCAGGTGTCACAGACCTGTTCTGCGCCTGACTCGGACATGCTGCTTACCTGAACAAACAACTTGACTGGACTGGAAACATGCCTTTGTATTTAACTCACTGGGATTTGCCAGCTCGAAGCTATGTGGAGAAGAGTGTCAGCCGCATATCCAACTGGAGATGGATTAGAGGTGCCATGTCGTGTTTGTTTTCGTCATTTCAAATGACAGGTCTTACGAGCTCACTTCTGTTTGAGCCTGTTTTGCGTGTCTCGGCAGTGTGACCATAGTAGTATGAAACGGGTGTTTACAATTTGCTGCAGTTTAAAGAGAGATATTGGTCATTTACCGTATTTTCTGACGTATAAGTCGCATCAGTCAAAAAAAGCATCATGAAGAGGAAAATACCATATTGCTTCGGTGTAAGTTGCATTTATTATGTGTCACTGCTGACCCGTTTATTATGCGTTTACTTGATGGTCAAAATAGCTTAATTTCGCCTGGGCGGTGTGGCACCATCCATCCATCCATCGCGGCCAGAGCCGCTTGCTCTCCAGTGTTCTTCCACCTGCACCAGCTGAGTGAAGCGAGCACTCACGGGAGGACTCGCTGTTGCAGTTCTTAGAAATTTAAAGTGTCAGTCAAAAATTGCATTATGAATATGGAAAAAAAAAAATCATGTATAAGTCGTTTCAGCATATACCGGTAAGTCGCAGGACTGACAAATCTATGCAAAATACTGTGACTTATACGCCGGAAAATACGGTACGCAGCTAAATTACATTGAAATCTTAAAGAGGTTGATTCATATCTCATCAGTTCAATTGGACTGCGATGTGACTTTTTTTAATGATCTATCTAGCTAAATACTAATACATCTACTTTGGTTTTGGCCCCACTTGGACTAACCGTCATTCCGTCAGACTGGATCTCCTTCTTTAAACTCAGACCATTCAAAGAGCTATTTACAGCAGGTAAGATGTTATTTGTTCATAACCGTTTCATAGAAGCCCACATTAAAATGTCTGATCCCTTTAAAGTGCAACAGGTTCAGCATTGGACGTAAAAAGGTGGAAACGCTTTATGTGCTTATTCAAAGTTGTGCTGCATCTTCTTTCTAGATATATGTTTCTCTGCTTACACCGATGATGTAAATACGTTTCATGTTTTGTGTTGCTAACTAGGAACACATCCACCTTTTTTTTTTTTATCCAAATGCTGATTTTAGTAATGGCTGAGCACCAGAATCCAAACTTGCATCATCTTCATTTGAACTCAGTTTAGGTCTGAAGTGGTACTCAAGAATACCATTAAATAGTACCAAAATTTAGCTTTTTTGTTGTTGTTGTTGTTAAACATGACAAACAGCCACTGACAATTAATGTTTTGAATTTGTGGATTTCATTGCTGCATCAGATCTCGTCGGTCGGCCTCCTAAAACCTGTTTACATCCCAGTTTTCTCAGGGCAGTAGTAGCTTTTACTCGAAATGCAGCTTTTCTTAATAAAAGTTAATTCTTATGCTTTTGATTGCATTTCCAAAAGTATGATACTGTACCAGCATAGCAATGAGGTATATATAATGTCTCTGGTGTGGTCTCCATGTATTAACATAAACTGTGTGCCCTCTGGTAGCTGTAAAAAAGGAATGCCGTTGTCTTCAGTTGACATATTGAACCACTGAAAGCATCTTTTTGATGCGCTGTCACACACGAAACAAGTGTTTTTGCCTCACATTTAAGGAGCGGTCCCAAATAGCAGAACCATTTTAGGTGTGACAGCTCAATACCTGTGCAGCTCAGAGCGAGCTGGCTTTCTCTCAGTTGACAGGCTCGTCATTTTGGAAAAAGCACATCTGGGGTTAGTAATAACAGATAAGACCTTCTTGTTTAGATGGACTGGTTCCAGGCTCCTGTAATCGTTGCTTGTTAGTGGTGGCGTACTGAGACTTGATGGAACTGAAACACTGGTAATACAGTTTGATTTATCGAGCTGACAATACAAGCCCAAGCTCAATATTGACGTGGAAGTATGAGCAAGTGGAAAGGAATGCTCAGTGATTGGTGGTTGAGCTTCCTGACATGCAGTCTGGAGATCTGATCACTGCTACTGGATCTCAGCTGTTTTTACTGATTGACAGCTTTTTTTTTTTCTCACTGTTTTTGTTGTTGTTGTGAAAAGCAGGCTGAGACAATGCTTGATCCAAGCTGCTAGACTGTTATGTTTGCAGCCAAACACAGTGTGTAACAACTGTTAAAATGGTAAAGTTTTTATCTTTTTTTTTTTTTTTTTTTAATGAAATGAAACCCACTCAATTTGTGCCTTTTGCACCTTATGAACCCCGAGCATTGAATGTCCTTTTGCTCAGCCAATCAGTTCTGGTGAAAATGAAATTCTGTATCAAAAGTCAAATAAAGGGAGATGAAACCTGATTTAAGTGTTTACTCATGTCTCTTTCCTACAAGAGTTTGACGTTCGACCTGAGACGACGACACCCCACATTTGCGTAACTAATGGAGGCAGAGTCCTCTCAGAGGGGTAGTCACAGAGCTGAGTTGGTGAGTGAGGTGTAATATTGCTGTTATTCTGCTGAATCCATGATGCTAGGTTTTTGTGTGCAACCGTGGGACTTGGTTTGTGTGTCTGACTGGAAGGGGATTGTCTTTGTGTCCATATTGTAAAACCATGAGGTGCTTTCATACTAAACCATTTAACAGAATAAAAGAGGACTCTGCAAAGATTACTCTTTAAAGACTTAATCCCACTAAGGAGCGTATAAGAACCAGTGTGTGTACTTTTACACCATCAGGTGAACTCTTGATTGCGTAATACTCAACTGACTGTCCATCACTTTTCTGTATGAATGACACAAACAACAACAATAAAACCTGCGGCCTCAACCACACTACTCTAGATGCTAAAAATACACATACCCAACTTGCTAACCAGTTGAGCTGACACATTACCAGTGATAGGGTAACATGACACTTGTAAGCCTTAAATATTGAAGCCAAATGTGTTTTTGAACGTACACCAGCAAGATATAAGCTATGTGAGTGAACAAAAATCATCCAAAAAATGGTCTGAGGCTGTTTTTTTTTAAAATATTATAGTCAGAAGAATGTTCTGTTTGTTTACATGGAGGGGCGGGGCCTATTTTTTTACTGCAGCCAGCCACTAGGGGGCAGTTGTCCTTTTGTGTTTCAACTGGCTAAGTCTAGTTGTGCAGAAGAGTTAAGCACGTTCGTTCTTTATAATTCGATATGCTGTTTATATGAAATTTTGACATATATAAATATATCCATCCATCGGGTTGCGGGGGTCACTGGTGCCCGTATTCAGCCATGGCTTTGCAAGAGGTGGGAGACACCCTGCAGTCAGGGCTCCAGTCCTTCACAGGGACACATAGAGACAAATGAGACAAACAACCATTCACTCTCTCACCTAGGGACAATGTAGAGTTACCAGTTCAGTTTATTTATATAGCGCCAAGTCACCGTATAAGTTGTCTCAAGGCATTTTACAGATCCACATACATTACATTATAAATGCCAATTAGTAAAAGTTAACGAAGGACGGACACCAGCAGATTGTGTTGAATCTTCACTTCGTCACAGTCTCCCATCCTGAGCAAGCACTAAGGCAACAGTGGAAAGGAAAAACTCCCTTTTAACAGGAAGAAACCTCCAGAAGAACCAAAATCAGTACAAGCGGCCATCCGCTTCAACCGGCTGGACTTGAGAGAACAGGAAGGAGAAACGGACACAGAATGGAGGCGAGCAGATTCTTACTAGGAGCAAAAATAAAAAAACGCGTGTCAAGATAGAAATTATTACATTTCTAAATGATTCATTTGTAACTTCATTTAATGAAATGAGGTCAGTTTGTCCTCCTGTAGTCTAAGCGTATAGCAGCATGACCAGGGCTTAATTTGTAAACCAAAAGATGCCGGATCACAAGTGGGGGGTGTCTCACCCAGAGAATCTTGAATAAAGTAGATGCCATTTTCTGCATTCTGGTGTATTTTACAAAGGTGCATTACAGTACATGAAACAAAAGATGTGGACTCATTGAAATGACTGCAACGCGCTCGTAATGCAAAACCACTGCAGCTCTGCAGGTAAGGGGCGTTCACTTCTGAACAAATTGAGGTCACTGATTGGCCAGTTGCTGAGGTGCCTGTTGGATTGATTGACAGGTGGCACAACTCGTAAAAAAAAGAAAAGCATTTACTGGCCCGTTTAAGACTGTCGTCATTTATTCAATATTTATTCCATAGTTATTCAATATTTTGGTGAATCTAAGGTTTGAAAACTGTTTTCTTACAAAATCCTAATGATGGTTTCTTTATTTTTCAGAGGGATTGAGTTAAAATTTAGGGGTGCTTGAGCACCCCCCAAAAAAGAGGCTAAAATCACCACTGAAGCCATTTCATATTTATAATTTACTTTTAAACAGTTTATGTGTGATTTATAAGTGTATTAAGTGCAGGATCATTTCTTACCTTACTAGTTGTTTAGTAGGGGTGCACCGATTGCAGCTTTCTGGCCGATCACTGATTTCTTAAAAAGTCTGACCTGCCGATACGATTTTGTTTTATAAGCGACACTGTCAGGTGTTATAAGGTCACAATGCACCTTCAATTTTCCAATATTATTTTGTTGAAAAACATACCCTTGAACAATATCCTAGAAATAATACAAACTTGTTTCAACTGGCCATGAGGTAGTGCTCTGAAATATAAATGAAGTTCAGACAATTGTTGTTAAAACTACAAAAAATCAGTATAATTGGTTTCTCATGCAAGTATCATCCGATTTCCCCAAATTAAGGAAATCTGGGCCGATTTATCGGTGCGCCCCTATTGTTTAGTATATCCCACACCGTGGTCAGGTGCGCCTCCTCATCCTCCTCCCTGCTCTGCACTGTGGGACAATCAGCGCTGCTCTAAGTTTTTGTCCACACTTAGCAGAAACAACCTAATATTTAGCACTTTGTCACAGGCTTACAAAAGAGTTGCTTTCAATCCTGCTCTTGCTCAATTCAGAAAAGCG